TTGTTTTTTTCACGGTATTCTGTGTTTCTTTTTACTTTATGGTTGATGGCTAGCGCGAGGCCTCATAGCAAGTGCCACCGGCCTTGCTGCAAGCCCGGATGGATGAGGTACCTGCGATATTCGCACGGGCAGTCCCACCGTGCCGGCTGCCACACCTTGTGTTTGTGTCTTCGTCTGATATCTAAGGCCATTTCTTGGAATACGGTAGGTGTCGCTAAACGCGCCCTGGGTGTGCTGTTCTTCTTTCCTGTGCGTAGTTGCTCACTTGTGACCCCGGCCGGCCACAAGCACAGACCTAAGCGCGGGCTGGAGGGCAGCTAATTACTGTTTGCGGAACGACAGTGAAGCCGACACCTGCCTCCAAGGCAGGTGCTGGCCCATGATTACGAGGACCATTGTGGGTGCCTGCGCACGGGAAGGCCGGACCCCACAATAAGTGGGCATGGCCTCCCCCGCGTCAAGGCCAAGAGTCGCTACTTTTGGGACTCGGTCCAGTTAAGCCCGGCCATATGCTCGGCTTTGGGTGCTTCAGGCAATTGCCACTCGGAACGGTGAGTGCCTGATGAGGTAATACGCCCGCCATGTGCGTAGCCCGCTCGTGCAGCGTCCAATCATGTCCAATCGAATTGTTGTTGTGCGTCGTCGTACCCGTCGTCGTAATAATCGCAGTAGCAATACTGGCAATGGTCGTATTCGTAGTCGAGTGTAGCTGTCGTCGTCGTCGTCGTTGTGGTTGCGAGGGACGATACCTATTCAAGATCGGTGAAACCCGGTTTTGCATTAGCAGAAGCAGTGGCAGTGGTAATGGCAGTTGTAGTAGTGGTGGTACTAGTAGTAATAGTAGTAGTAGTAGTAGTAGTAGTCGTAGTAGTAGCAGTCGTCGTCGTCGTCGTGGCGGTGGTGGTGGTGGTAGTCAGTAGTAGTCAGCAGAGGTGTTGGTGGTGGTGCGGTGCTGGCAGTCTTCGTCGTCGTGTTGATAGTGGTAGTGGTGGTGGTGGTAGCCGTAGTAGCAGCAATCAGAGAGAGAAATGTTGTTGTGGTTGCTGCCGCTGTGGATGTGGCAGTTGCAGTGGTTGTTGTTGTTGCTGCTGGAGCTGGTGTTTTTGCTTCTGCTGCGGCTGTTGCTGCTGCTGCTGCTGCTGCTTCTGTCTTTGGTGCAGGTGTAGCATGGTGTAGCTCTGGTTCTTGAAGTTGTAAGTACAGTTGCAGCAATGTTGTTTCTGTTTTTGCAGCAGCAAAAGCGGTATCGGAGACATTGGCTGGGAGCCGAAAATTTAAGGAGATCGGGCAAAGCCCAAACCCCCACATCCTGCAAGAAGACGCTGGCTGGTAAACCCTAAACACGGACAGCACATGCTGCGAGGAAGGTTTCAAGCTCAGCAGATGTTGGGGGGTTACACTGAGCGCCGGAAAGATTTTGGCTGGCTTGGTGAACTGTTGAGAGCTCCTTCAGAGGTCGGCATCATTTCGAGTGGTGTGGAGGCTGTGACCTGTGACGAGAATGGGTCGTATATGATAGGGGGAAAGGATTGCAATTCCACAAACAGACATATACAGAATCCTCGCATCTGGCATGATTGGTTCTTGCTTGTCCATCCGACGCCCAGTGCATGACTGGCTGACCGACAAAATCACAAGATGTCCTGTGCAACGGCAGCACAATGGTGGGGCAGAAGGTCCAACCCTGAAACGGCGACACACTCTAAACCCGAGAACTATGTGAAAAATTGGGCGTGAACATAAGTTTGTGGCTAGGGAGCCCGACCGGAGATGTCGCCTGGGAAACCCAGGGCCCACGGCTCGAAGGGGAAATTGAGGTGTGAACCTCGGAACCTCGAGAAGGAGTTGTTTGTGGAAAGCCCCTTTTTAAAGCTCAAGAGCATGCGTCGGGCACCAAGCCCGCCCGACACCCTAAACGGAGACTGTTTTTTAAAGGAATATGAGCTGACACACCCGGAGCCTCCAATCTAAACAAATGTCAGAAGGGAAAGTTTGGAAGAAGGCGTTGCCTGGGAAACCAAAGACCAAAAAAGTTAAGATAGTGTATCATGGTGTTCTGTGGCAGCCTTCAAACGTTTGAAGCAGAATCAGGTGGCAAACCGTACACCGTGGGTACACTTGTGTAAGGAGATGTCGAGCGGGTAGCCCGAAACACCATTTGTTGGGTGGATGTTCGTCAGCACAGGAAATGTTGGATTGGAAACGTTCAAGCCAGGACGTGATTTTTGGTTGGCAAGCCGGGACTCTAAAAGCAGGCGTTGCTCCAAAAATGGTTTTGCAGTTTAAGCCGCAAGACGCAGAGTCCTTCGGACCTAGGACTCAAGCCAGCGATGTGTTGGACAGGGAGGCATTGGCTGTTTGAACCGGAAACATGCGAAACCCTTTCGACCTCTGCAAATGAAGAAGCCGCCTGCTCAGAAAGTAACGGAGGGTTCGAGATTGAAGGGAAGCTTTCGCTGCAGACTTGCAAGAACAGATGGCATCGCTCGAGACGTGCCAAAACAGACAACAAAGCTTGGAGAAGTGAATGCCAGTGATCCGAGACCTGTGTTACCTGATGGGGACCCGACTTGAAGCCAGCTTTTGAAGGTCAGGGCCCATGGGCACTACAGCCTGATCTGGGTGGAGGCTGTTTGCGACGATGAGGAGGCCTAGCAACGCGGTTCGGTGATCAAAGCGGCAATGTGTCGAATGGGTTGGCAAACAAGGAATCTTTCTTTTGGGGGGATGGTATATTCACAAGTAGGTGTTTTGCAGCATTTTCACCGGCTACGGTGTTTGCCCACTCAGCGGCTAGGATTGGGGACCTGTTGCGCTTCACATCAGTTGCCTTTGGAACCAAACTATACAGGTTTATGCAAGCGCTGCATTGGAAAAGCTGACCCTGCGGTCTCTGCGCACCGTACAAAACTGGCTCCATGGACCTGTATTTCTACTCACACGAATCTTAGCACGTGATATCTTTCGGGACTTATGTAGACGTTGTTAGGGGGAACGACTGCAAGGCATGGGATGCAAGTTGCCAACCTCAATCAAAGAAAGATGCGAGTAAGGATTGCACAGGTATCGCTTCAAGAGGGTTACGATTGGAACTCTCGAGCACCACAAATGAAATCGCATACGCAGTCATGAGTCATTACTGTGTCGGGCATAACAGTGCACACCAAAGTCAGGATCACAGGTCAGGTCTGCATGCAAAGATGCAACACAGTGAGTGTGAGCTGGCGTTGTTTAAAATCCTTCGAAGACCAAGAATTGCAAAAACTACAAGTGCAGGTCTGCAAACACGATGTCTTGGCTTGAACCGCTGCACAGAGTGAATTTGGAAAAAGTGGGGTGAAGACCTATCACAAGCTGTACTGTGCGTGCGCAAGATGCAAACTGTTTGACAACTATAGGCGAGCAGAGTGATAAATGCACTGGCAGAAGACGCTGGAAAATACACCTGCTTTACAGTTTTGTTCAGCACTCCAGGGCTTATCCATCTTTGCTGCACTTTACAAAGACACTGCCTTCCACACTTGTCCCCATTGTCCACGCTGCGGCATGTGTGAGCTTCATGGAGATAGCAGTTTCATTCCTGCAGCTTGTTCGAAGTGGTGTCGGGGCATGTTTTGTTGCATGCTGGCAGGTCGTGAGGTTCAACATGTTGACGAAGGTACCCTGGAATCCAGAAGCTGGTGCATGCTGCTGGCAAAGAAGCTCACCTTGGACGAAACGTGGGTTTGAGATCTGTTGACGCGGTTAGCTGAACTGGAATGGAACAAGCTACCGTAGCGACTGCGGAACTGCATGCTGAATGCTCCACGAAGACCACGAGGTGAAGTACAGCCCGGACTTCAAAGAGATGTCCGCAGACCAAGCAGCTTCCTTAATCAGCTACAACTGTGCAAGGGAAAGGCTCACTGAGTTCGACGTGCATCGCCTATGAGAGCAAAACTTAGGCAATGTCCGATCTCACTGCAAGAATTCAAAAGTATTCAGAAATTTACGAGACAATACAGGACGGCACTGCACTGTTTCTTTCAGCAGGTTCCCTGTTTTGATTTGCATGACCTCGCTTCCTGGACCGCTGGCACCTGCACGGGAAGACGCTTGTAGTTGCAAATGTGCAGGACTCGGAAGGCGCCTTTATCAAGCTGTTCAACCTGTCGAGCAAGGTGCATGCTCTACAATGCAGTGCGTTGCTTTGCTCCTGGTTGGATTTATCTGGATATTCAGATACAGTTCCAATCTTCGCGGCCTGCTAGTTTACTTCCAGGATATGGCTGTCACAGCAGGTCTGAAAGCAGTCCGCTTGGCACATGCATGCACACGCATCCTAACTCCGCAAGTTCCTACAAGTACAGATTGGAACGGAAGCCGTAGCATGACACGCAGCTTAGTGCAGCCGGTCTCTGTGTACGATAAAGCAAGATTGCACGGTTCCAAGCAGGACTCCCGACACAACAAAGCCTGTGCAGGAGGGTAGTGGTAGATGTGCCGTGACTGCTGCATTTGTTCTTTCCACAGTCATAGTCGCAGAGACGCAAATTCGGCCTGGCGTACGCACCGAATGGTGGCGCGAATTCTGCGAAGCCAGCCTGCTTGCTGTCGACTCTTTCGAGCTGTAGCTGCCCTTGCCTTTCTTGCTGCTCGGCGGCTGCCATGAGATTTTGGAGAGTCTGTTCGTGTAGTGCCTACGTGACCGGCCTTGGTCCGTCACCAGTTAGGCTTTGCTTGACCTACTTTCAGTGACTCGGCTTCTCTTGTGTGGAGTGTCATGGTAAAGACAGCTCTCATTTGCGATAGCTTCAATCAGCATGTGGAGACTTCATGTCGGGAAGCCAGCAAGCGTCCATGCCATTATGATTCAGTTGCTTCGCAAGTCTGACGAAGCATTGCCCATTCAGCTAGGAAGCTCCTCCCATAGTCCAGTCAGGTGACATGCCACTGTGATGTGTTCTCAAATACGGTTGGTCTTGGACAGCGTTGTGCTTGCGCAGAGTAGAACAGCCAAGGCATTCTGCCACGGCTTTGTGACATGCAGAGCAGAATTGTTCCGCACAATCCCACCATTCCCACGTGTTTTGCACTTGACAGTCCTGAGTTGTTGTTCTTGTTCAGAAGTAGCGAGACCTTCATGGAAGGAGATTAATGCTGTCTTACACGCCTGTGCTACCGCTGACCAGGCCTGAGTCAGCTCGGCCTTACGACGCTTTCCTGGGTCTTCCTTTCAGATGTCAGCCCAGCAGCTGCAGATGATTTGTCTGTGGCGGGAGTTCCGAAAACGTGGTCGACGGCCCTCCTGCTTGGAATTACGGCTGGTCTGGTGTTGGGCCTGTGGCCTTTCGGAAAGCTCCAGCGATCGTTGCCTTTTGGCCCTTCCCCTGTGGAGCTGTTCAGCCATCTCAGCCGAAGCGCCTTCGTGCAGGAGAAGTGGGTCCGGAAGCACGGAGACATCTTCCAAACTTGGATTCCGTTTTTGAGCATCGTGTGTATAGCAGATCCAGATGCCACCCGCGACATCGCGGTGAGAAAGGGAAACAACTACCGAGATCCCTGTCTTTTCGGCAGGCACGGAGCTTCAAAAACCAAAACAGAGAGCTGAAAACTAGACAGAAACAGAAGGGAGCCCATGAGCCTCCGATCCTCTGCACAGGGATCGGCGATTGGCAGCCAGTATCGAAGAGGCCTTGGGGCCAGGCAGCAGCTTCCCGACCTTCGAAGAGTGGCGCTGGCGAAAGCAATCGCTTTCGGGCGAGCTCAGCTTCGCAAAACTTCTAAGGCCTGAGACGGGCTTTCTCCAGTACCTCCTGAAGCTGGGAGAAGACATGCGTCCTGGCAGAACATACCTTGCTGTGACGCAGAAGGTGTGGAGGTCCCCAATAGGTACGGGTTCGCCAGGTGCAGGTCTCTGGACCGAGCCACAGAGACAGCCGTGCAGCCCATTCGGATCAACGATCTCTTCTCCAAAGCTGCTGCTGCAGCAGTATTGTACTTGTTGTTCGGACGAGAAGTGGACTTCGATTCGAAGGCGCTGGAGAAGAGTACCGAGGATTGCTTTCCGTGAGAGGTCCATTTTTGGATGAGCAATTCACGTCAGCAAGACAGGAGATCATGGAAGTCTTGGAGGAGATGTTGCTTCCACAAATGCCTGCCGTCCGTCAAGCGACCCTGGCCAAAAGAGGTGCCGGAGCAGATTTGATTGACATTTTCCTAAGCAGACGGCAGACACACCATCAATGTGTGGATGTGAACAGGACGAGCACATGCTGTCATTGATGCCGTGCTTGGTCCAGAGCTGGAGGATTTGGTCGCTGAGGTTCGGCTCATCATCCTTTGGGGCACGCCTAGAATGCTTGTTTGCAGGGACCACCTTGTTTGTCTGCTGTCGCACCACATCAGAAATAGATTCTCTTGCACGTGTTTTCATTGCGGACAAACTTGAGGCGGCCAATCAAAGGATACTTTGGCAACGAGCATTGTCTGTAACAAGGTATTTACAGGTATGTCGGTTTCCTCATACGACAGAAAGACCATGTCGCCTGTCTGTGCAGATTGATGCGGGTTCGTGGGCAGAGAACCGACACCGGCCACTGCTGCAGGCACGGTCGGCGAAGCACAATTCGCAAATAATATTGTCTTGTGCCTGGCTCGCCTACATCCCAGCTACTTGAAGCCCATAGCCTGGCGTCCAGGGGCTGTATAATTCGGGCGACGGACAGCACGCGAAATTAGCCCGGTCGACGAGCATGCCTGGACATATTGTCCAGTTTGGATTGGGAGTGAGCTCCCACTTCAGTCATACAGCATACATGTTCACCAGGCACTCATGGGCACTTTCGGACTCTCAATAATTTAGATTCCCATTTAGATTCCCATGTCGCATACATTCCTGCCTACAAGCAGCAGAGGTGGAATGAGGCAGAAGCCTACTCAAACAAAATCAGACACGCTCCATGCAGACACGTTCTTGGTGACGAGGCTCTTTTGATCAAAGAGCCTCGGTGGCGCGAAAGAGGTTTGCAGGCACTCCTGGCGGAGGCCAGCACTTCCAGCCATTTTGGACCCTGCGATTCGATCTGCCTCTGCCAGATCCGCAACTTTGTGAATGCGGGCTACGAGATACAAGCATTCGCCCTATCCTTTACAGTGGGCTTCCTCTCTGAGCCACGGCATTCTCGGGCAGCAGATGACGCCAGACGGGCAGCCGACACTCGAAAGCACCTTTCGCACCCGACCTTCCCGTCTCATCAGCACCAGCTTAGGAAGACATCGTCCGCATCGGCTTCAAGCAGGAGACACTTCTACAGAGCACCAATTCCATGCAGGCAGTCTTCAACGAGGCGCTGTGCATGGCGTGTTTTTCAAGAATCAGTTTTTGTTTGCTGCCCTGTGCTTTGTGTGCGGAGGAGCGCCGTTACTGTACCCGGTCTACCTGTGCGAGACTAGTGACTAGTGTGGAACGGGGCTCCCTTTACTGAAACCAAGACGTGGTGCAGGCCCGAAGCACTACTAGTACGTGTTCTTCAAAGTAAACAACTGCAGTTGCTTTTCTCGGTCAAACGTCAATCCAAGGCAGACCCAAACTGATTGTTTCGTACACTCTGCACAGCATTAGCACACACAGACACACGCGCACGCACGCACACGCACGCTCACACGCACGCACGCTCACACGCACGCACGCACACACACACACACACTTACTTGCTTACCTGATTTGACCCTCGAGTGGCCGAAGCCAAACATGGGACAGCACGTATTCCTACACTCGTAGCCTAATACGCTCGACCAGCATCTTCACAATTGAAATCGGCTTCACAGTTCTGTAGATTGCAGGTACATGAAGAAGGCCGCCTTTCTTCATCAGCAAATCTGGAGGAGAGAGAGAAAGGGAAAGGGAGTGAGAGAGAAAACAGAGGCAGTTCGCAGGCAAAAGCCACGGCCCCCCCGGCACTGCCATGTCATCTTTTGGTCAATGTGGGAGTTCGCAGGCGGCCAAAGCCGCAGCCCTCCCTACTCTGCCCGCTTTTCACGGCTGCAAAACACTGGGATCACAAGTTGTAGAGTCGGGGTCACTTGTTGTAGAGTCGTAGTCACTTGTTGTAGAGTCGTAGACGCAAGACGTCACATGATGTCACATGTTGTAGAGTCGTAGACACGAGTCGTCACTTGTTGTTGATTAGTGGATGTCGCGTTTGGGAACACAAGTAGTCACTATCCTGACATCTTAGCATTCAGCCACGAGAGACTTTAGAAGTGTTGTTGCACCCGAAGGTGAGTATTCATACGTCTGGCCACCGAGCTCTCTCAATCCAGGATCTTAGAGCTGGAGCCTCACGACTGGCACTTTGTCAGAAAACCATCCGAATTACACACTTGATTTGAGCCTCGAGTGGCCGAAGCCAAACATGGGACAGCACGTATTCCTACACGAGTAGCCTGGTAACTAGTACCCTCCATCAGCATCTTCACAATTGAAATCGGCATCACTGTTCTTTTCATTGCAGGTACATGAAGAAGGCATCCTTTCTTCGGACTTTGTTAGGCAGCGCAATCCAGAAATGCACACTGCCCCCCTGCAATGCTGAAATCTGTATTTCCTCTTGGCAACAGAGGTCCACACACACACACAGATGGAGAATCACAGAGCCGCGGAAGCGAGCTGTCCCGTTCCACACGGGGGGCGGGAAGGGGGGGAAATACATCATGATCAGTGTATACTTGCAGGCGGGGATGCAGCAGAACCACAGAATCAGGCCGCAGGAGAAGGAAGGATGTACCGTTCCACAGTGGGGGGAAGGGGGGGACATTTTCCGTTATGCCTGAACCTTGGGCGGGGGGAGGGGCGCCAGGGCGCAACCAAAAATGGACGCACTCGCGTGCACATAGGGATTCTGCATGCAGAGAGCTCTCGGAGGCCGGCGAACGCTTCCGTGCCTGGCGGGCCCGGCGCGAGCCCCGCATCCCGCGGCCGCCGGGCCCCGTCTGCCCGGGCCCCGGCCCGCAAACCCAGATGATCGCTCTCTGGCCCTTTTCTTGAGGTCCTCTTTGCCGAGCTCCTTTCGAGGCGGCGGCCCCGCACTCAGCCGGAGATAAAAAGCCAGCAGAGCCCCACGCGCTCTGCTTCACCGAGCCTTTTGTGGCTGTGCTGAGGTGCGACTGACGGATCCCACGGTGGATCCCAAAGCCTTCTTCCGCCTCGCCTGCGTTCCAGAGGACGGCAAAAATAAGCCTGTGTATGGACCTTTAGGGAAACCTGCAGGAGTTTAGGCGTGCACATGGCACTGCAATCACTGCTGCAGCAGGACGCCGATGCGAATCCTGAGTCCTTGACTTTGAAGGTGCGATTTAACGGTACAGTCTCACGTCGCAGAACGCTGCAGCAGAAGCCCTCAGGAGAAATTTGCCCTCAGCACGCTCGGCGCATTGCTGCCGGCAGGGGGGCTGCAGGGAAAGTGCAGAGAGCGGCACGGACAAAAGCGGCAGTGAACTCGGCATGAGGTGAACGTCTCGAACTTTGCAGCGGCCTTTCAAAGCCTCTGGCCAGCCTTCGGCCTGGGCGAAAACCGCTAGAATCCGCGAGATCTGAGAGAGAGAACGTCGGTTTCGTCTGGTCACCGAGGCCTGGTGCGACGCAGATCTCCAGCCTCGGCCGGAAGGATTACGGGAAGCGGACTTCCTGAGGCGAGACGAAGGGGATGGAGCAGAGACAGCGAGAGAAGTGCGAGAGAGAGCCAGATGTGGGGGGGCTCTCTCCGTCTCGAGGCCCGGCGGCATGCTCGCGTGGCTCAGCGGGCATCTTCTGGAGCTCAAGGTCCAAGGCTGCGGGGCGGGTGCCGTCAGCCGAAGCGAGCCGAAGCCAGGTCGAAGCCACGTACAGAGCCGCTTTGTTGAGTGCCTCTGCATTAAGCTGCTCAGAGGCCAGCTGGGCCAGCCACCACGCCTGGACTGCCGGAGCCCACGTCTCCACAGAGGGCTTGTCTCTATTTTGGGGGGGGGGCGGGGGGGCACTGGGACGTCAGGTCCAGAGACTTGGTTCCGGCACTTCGACTTTCAGAACTCCGGGCGGCTCACCAAGTCCGAGCTGCGCGGCGCCGAGCCTCCAGGAAAAGAGCCGCTCTATATGGCTATATGTAGTTCGAGCGCAGCTCTCTCCATTTTGCGATTCGAGGCTCCGGGGCGTGGTGAAGGCGCCGAGTTGGCAGGGTCCCGCAAAGTTTTTGCCACGGATCCGGCAGGCCTTCGACTGCTCGCAGCTGGCGGCCCCGGGGACGCCCTCGCGGAGGGCGCGGAGCGCCGGGGCGCCGCACCTCGGAGAGCGGAGAACGGCAAGACGAACATCGCCGCCGCACGCTCTTCGCTCGCGCTGAGGTCCTGAAGCTCCGGGATCTCGTGGAGGCGGCGCGGCGGCCCAGACGCGGCGCTCTCCGCGCTCTCTCTCTCCTTCCCTCTGCTTTTGTATAGCATTTTTTAAGGCCAGACGTCTATAGCTTTTGAAAGCTCCAGAGCTCTCCAGGTCTGGGACGAGGAGCGCTGGGCGTCCGGCGTGCCCTTGGAGGAGCCCTTAAGTTTGAAGCAGGTTAGAGATTGAGCTCTGGATGTTACCGCCGTATATCGGTGCCTGCATCAGGATTTCCTGGGCTCGGTCCCCAGAGCGAGACAGCGAGAGATAGCGAGAGACAGCGAGAGAGAGAGAGAGAGAGAGAGAGAGAGCCTCTCCGCGTGCCGAGGCAGCAGCGGCCTGGCCGAGCGCCTGCGAGCAGCGCTGCCGCAGCCGCCGCAGCCGCAGCCCGGGCAAGCGAGTGGACCTGCAAGCAGGTGGGCGCGCGCGCCAGGGGGCCGTTGGGGCTCTCTTAATTTTGGATCTTCTGCCGCAGCTCGCAGGTCGGCAGACACGAAACCGCCGACTGTCAGCGTGGAGGAGGCACCACGAGATGGAGGGCGGAGAGGGAGCCGATAAGTGGGGCTTCCGACATGGATCGCGTTTCCGAATGAGTCTCTCGCGTGCTGTGGCGAGTCGTGGTCGTACGTACCATGCCTTTCGAAGCCTGTTTAATGCTGATGTGAGATTCACGTTGGCATGCCGTGATGCTGTGGCGGGGGATTTCGTCCCTTGCGGGTGTAATTAGTATGCTCCTTCGTCTCCCTTGGCCGCCAGGGCATTGCACCTCAGTACTTGGTCCGTCCGGTGTTGTTGCTGCTGACATACGAGGCGTCCTAGCTTTTCGAGGTCTTTGACAGTGCCGCTTATCATAACAAACAGCTACAGCGTGGGGAGGGTATCATGGGTATCCTCGATTTCTTGATTTGGGACCGCGGACTTGAGGGTACCCCGAATTCTTAAAACAAGTTTTGTTCAATCTTCATCAGATTCCATTATACAGTCATAAGTAAGGCACGATTACGGTGAAAAGCCACTCAGCTTGAACCCCAAATCAGGTTGTGGGCCAAAAGCCATAGCTCAGGGGCAGGCGCAACGATCAGGTATCAGTTGGCAAAAGTTGGTCCAGCTCCCCCGGGTGTTTTTCCATGCGCCTCTGAAATCCAGCCCCTCAATTTCTTGATTCGCTGTTTTTGAGCGAAGAAAGCGAAGAAACATCGAGACAGCAAACTCAGACAGAGGTACGCCGACGTCAGGGTACCCTGGCTTTCTGATTTTCCCCAGATGGCGCTTGCTGTTTGCTCATTCTTGTGTCGCGCCGGATGGGTCCTGTCGCTGTAGCTATGGTCGTACGGTAGCCACGTTCTCCATGTCTCATGCAAGCTTTTCTGAGACTCGCCTCAAGCTCGCATTGCGAGTTGGAGAGAGAAGCCTGGCACGCAGGCACTGCGTCTCGCACGAGCCAGTGACTTCAAGACCGTGCAGGTCAGGACCGCCTGCGTGGGCTTTTGCAGAGCGCTTGCGGGTCGCAGGAGGACGAAGCGCGAGCCAAGGCCAAGAGAGGGCAACAAGAGGGCCCTGGGGCCGAGCCCGAGCCGGCGCCGCAGGTACGGGCGGAGAAGCAGCGCCAGCCGCTGACGCCGGGCGCTTCCCAAGAGCATGAGAGAGCGCGGTGAGCGACATCTTCTGCCACGTGTAAGGCAATCTCCGAGCCACTTGGCTGCAAAGCGAAATCTGTGAGAGAGCCCGTCCGTCTGTATGTATATGTTACCCTCGGCTGCTCTTCGGCGGAGGCCGGGACGCGGAGCCCAGGAGGCGCGCGCGCGGGTCCGCAGAGAGAGGAGAGGGGGACCGAGAGAGGCGCGCAGAGGCACCTACTTCGCGGAGGCCCGGCGGCCCTCCGCAGGGTGGCGCTCAGGTGCTGCTGGCTTCGCTTCTGGAGGACACCCAGACTTCACATGCAGACTTGGTGTGCCCCTTTTTTCTGCGCAGCAGAGAGAGGCCGCCCGGGAGGAGGGCCGACTTGGAGCCGAGCCCTGAGAAAAAACAGCGCCCCCAAGTCGGGCCCCGGGGCTCTGCCCAGCGCTCCGCACGCGGCCAACTCGGCAGTCTCTGCGACACTGAGGCCACTCGCCAGCTCCGCATCCAGCAAGGGCCCCAGGTTGGCGCTCCAGACGGGAAACAGGTGCAAGCCCAAAGAGCATTGCAAGATAGATTCCAAGCTGGGGGAGGCCCCTCGCAGTCTCCAAATGTGTGGAGACAAGACGTGACAAGACAAAGACTATAGTGACTAGAAGCTGTCTGTGCTTGTGCCGCACAATGTGCCTTGTGCCGGAGCGGATCGAGCGGCGTGCCCTTTGCAGATTCTCAAGAATGTCACCCCGACGCAGTGCTGGTACCTGGCCTTTTGTCAAGCCTCTCGCTGTATTCTAAGTCCAGCGACGTCTCGGCAGATTCCGAGCGGAGGACAACCGACTGCGACTGATCAATCGACCACAGCAACAAAGACAAGTGGAGCCCAGTGACACTGTCTGCACTGTCAGTGTGTCGCCTTTCTCATCATTCCACACCGAGTCGCCCACTTCAGTTCAGGAAGCTTCGTGGCCATGCGAAGCGTTTCGGTCTGCCTTTTGGCGCTTTGATCTGTCAAGGGAAGTTGGGGGCAAGGCGGTTCCCGTGGATGCCGTTTGGGCGAAGAGGTGGTCAGACAGTTAGAAGCATCCTTGCCCAGTTTGGGTGTATGGCACCGCCTGCTCGCCTACCCACCACCCCAAGATCCTGTCCTAGAACAACTTCTTACTGCAACCTCACCATTCTAGCACCCCAAGATCCTATCCTAGAAAAGACTCCTTACCTCAACCTCGAGATCCCATCCGAAAGAAAACATCCTCATCCCGATCCTAAACCCCTAGCCTAGGTGCCATAGCTCAAACTGGGCAAAGGGGGTCTTGTAGGTTTTAGGGCTAGGACTTTCAGCGAACCTGTGTACATGGTTTCCAGCCACGGCATGGACAACGAAGACGACATTTCGGCGCACTGTGTGGTGTTGTATGCCTAGCCTAGCTGATTGATGCAGGTGCTGGAGAATTTAGTTTTAGCACCATGGCAGCGTTTCAGAGATCGCAACCGCAGCTCATGGAGCAGATGCACGCAACCATGCAGACCACGCAGCAGTCGCAGTGTGAGCTCAAAACAACAGGTATTTCACTCATTACTTAATAGGAGAAAATATCATTTGATATTTAAGGGGCTGCGCCCAGAGTCGGGCAACGCAGGCAGTTCATTCATTCATGCATTCCTTAATTCATTCAATCATTCATTCCTACATTCATTCATTCATTCATTCATTCATTCATTCATTCATTCATTCAATCCATCAATCAATCAATCATTCAATCAATCAATCAATCAATCATTCAATCATTTAATCATTCGTTCATTCAATCATTCATTCATTCATTCATTCATTCGTTCATTCATTCATTCATTCATTCATTCATTCATTCACTCATTCATTGGGCGGGGGGCAATGAAAAGCGCAGAAGGGGGGGGGGCCCTG